AGATACCTGTATTTTTATATCTGTTACTTTTATGTTTATGTTTTTTATCCAATAGGTGTGTTCTGTTCAGTCTCTTTTGGTATAATGGGCAGCTTTACAAATTAGAGAGAGAGAGAGAGAGAGAGAGAGAGATTGATTCTAGTTATCTGATAAAGCTATGCAATAATATGATTTGAAGGACACCAGCATATATCACCTAAAGCACATCTTTCTTTCCATGGCAGCTAAGCAATTATATGAAAACTGATAATTGTAACCGCTTCATAGAAGTTCTGGTCATTTTTTTTAAACATAATTATGTTCATCTACTACTAATTCCTGGAATCTCTATGCATCTTAGGATGCCAAGTATAGAATTAAAAACATTCATTCAAATAGGGACCCAGCTTTGGGATAGGGGCTGGAGAATAACTCTTAATAAAGGCTCCCAGAAATTGGAAAGGAACGCTTTCTTTGGTGCAAATGAAGTGCCTATCATTATTCTATTGACAAACAGTTCTTTTCTTGCAATATAAACCTAGCCAGAGCCTTCGACCAGTCATGCTCCTTATATAATTCTATTATTCCAGATTTCTTCGCCTCCTCACGAATGCTTGGATATTTTTTCAAATGCCTGTTTGAAGCTTCTTTTCCATACCAACTATTACCAAGCAACCACAGCTGTTTTAGGCCTACTTCAAATAGGTAACTGACCCACCTAGTTTAACAGTACAACAGAGGTTATTTAATACACAATTAAAATGTAGCCCTTTACATTCTTTATGGACTGGATCCTGATTATTGAGGTAATGGCATTTCTCCTTTGTTGCTTCTTGCATCTTTGAAATCTAAAGATGAAAGCCAGGCTAGGGCCAAGTGCCAGAATTTTTCAGTGGCTGTTACCAAGGTCTGGAGTCAATAATTAATTTTGCTGTGACTGATCCAAGGGACAACTCTTTGGAAAATGCTATCCAAAACTACTCCGGAAATTTTTTTTTAAATAATTCCAATTTTAATCTGTTATATCTTTATCACTCTGGCTTTATTACTCATTAAATCAGTTCAGGTAGTCCTCAATTTACAACAGTTCATTTAGTGACCATTCGAAGTTAACAACGGCATTGAAAAAAGTGACTTCTGACTGTTTTTCACACTTATGACCATTGCTGCGTCCCCATGATCACGTTATCAAAATTCAGGTGTTTGGCAACTGGCACACATTTATGACGGCTGGAGTGTCCTGAAATCATTTGATCACCTTTTGCGAACTTCTGACAAGCAAAGTCAACGGAGAAGCCAGATTCACTTAACAACGGTGTTACTAACTTAATGACTACAGTGAATCACTTAACAACTGTGGCAAGAAAGGTCGTAAAATGAGGCAAAACACAATAAATGTCTCACTTAGCAACAGAAAGTTTGGGCTCAATTGTTGTAAGTCGAGGACTACCTGTACAGGTGTACACAAAAGACAAATCTCATTGATCCAATGAAGTTTACTTCCAAATAAGCAGATATAATTAGTTGTAAGCTACTTTAAGATCAGTGGTTGAGAACTTAATTATAAATTTGACTCATCATCATCATCATCATCGTGATCCAGGTCTTCAAAAGTAATAGTACAATCCTAGAATATATATCGGCTCAGGAGCCCCACTCATTTCAATGAAATGTACTCCTAGGTATGAATAATATTCCAGCCTATTTTGTCAGGTTAATCTATCTCTGAGTTTAATCATATGTGATAGAGGGGAAGTGGGGGGGTGTTGGTCATTAACTTTTGGTCCAAAATCATGTATAGAATAGTAATGGCTGCATTACTTATGATTCTAAAGAGGCTTCACAGGAACTCTTGTAAAATTCTTTATAATGGTTTTGTACAATTCCAGGCATATGCAAACTAATCTGAACATATGTTTCACTGGAATTAATAGAGCTTGCATGTGGTAATACTGTGTAAATACCACTAAGAGAGACAGTGTTTTTATTGCTTCTGTTCCTGTGCCTTTAGCAGCAGATAATTTTCCTGAAGAAAAGTAATGCTGATTTCTACAAATCGGTCTGCCTTTAAAAGGAAGAAAAGAGCAGGTTTGATTTTCTAGTTGGTAAATTTGTTCCTAGGTAGTTAACAATACACTTACCAAGTGGGTGGAATGTGACACGCTATTTCTTTTAGATTATTAGATCTGGAAATGAATATCTAAAAGAAATGTGAATAGAGAACTTCAATCTATGACATATACATGCAGGTTTCTGAAATCTTTTTATGGGTCAATGTTCTTCCCCTATTCTGTTAAATGCAAACTGTGGTTCAAGGTCTGATAGAATGTTTGGTGACCTTAAGTCAAATTGCATAAGGCAAATCTCATCCTGTTGTGCAACACAAAGAAACTGCTAGGCACAGATGAAGGACTTTGTTATTGTGCCAAATTATGAGAAAACCATCACATTTTACAACTGGAAAGCTGGAGAAGAAAAAGCGATGCCACTTTTAATTCTCATCTTTTGATTGGACAATAATGATCTTATCTATTAAATACACACTATCTCAACATGATACCATCTTAAGATACCACTTGTGAACTGGAGATGTCTATACTTGCTATTATAGTGAAACTAATACAAAATATATATATATAGTAATCAGTACTTGTTCCAAGCAATCACAATTTGGTCTGTATCTTGGAATGAAGTAGAAGGGTGTCAAGATATTTTATAAAGACAGGGCAATATTTACAAATCATTGTTGCCAATGGCCGTTTGTATTTGATATAAAATAAAGAGTAACATTCCCTGATCCTCTTAAGGACCAAAACAAATATGAAACCTTCATCTGCAGTTTTCCTATCGCATCACAATACAGGTCAAAGTGTATGGCTGTTTGTTTCTTTAAGACTTTATTTGCACAAATAATGTCCCATTAATTTTGGTTTTAAAATTGTGGATGACGCTGAAATGTCTATGGACTTTCAGGTTCCACAGTATCATAAATAAATTGCAAAATAAATTTTATGACCATTTGATGAAATGTTATATAATTAGGGTTATCTGTATTCAACATTAATGCATATTAATCATTCAGGCAATTGTAAGGAGTGATTTTCCAGAATCATGATATATCTTCCTCAGTTATCACAAGGAAAATCTAATGGGGGGAGGGGATGTCCAGGAAGAGAGTCTTTTTTCCTGTTGTCCCTGCCCATTGAAACATTCTCCTCCCAGAAGTGTCAGAAATGTTCATTTGTACATTTTGAGTGGTTTGTTTATTATTCTCACTTTAACAGATGCAAATAAATGAGATGGGCAGATTTTTGTTTTTCATTTATTAGCATAATAATTCTGCACACTAATAGTTGCCCAATAATTGTGCACACCTAGATACTCTCCTAAGAAAGCCAAAACGTCACTTTTATTTTCTTAAATATTCAGGTTTGAAGTCTATTAACATTAACCAATAGGATTTCAAGAAATAAAAAGCTGAAGTTGCTATGTGCGGGTGCTTTTCTTTAGAATTATAGTTGGGGAAAGAGAAATTAAAGCTGTCTCCACATGCTGAAACTTCCTATGCATCATTAAATGTTTAAAGTTTCCTAGCATCAAGGCATTTAATCTAATTATACTGGCGCACACATAATATATATTTAAGCTCTAAGTGCAGGCTCAGACTGTATTTGCAGACTGAGCTGAGCAGGCTGAGCTGCATATTTACTCTCCTAGGACCCCCGGATGGGCTTTAATGTCAATAGCACTGGCATAGTCTGTGGCTTCTTCTTCCATTTGCTTCGACCTTCCTAAGCAACTTTGGGAGCTGTAAAATGGAGCAGCAGCTTATTGGTTGCTCGGAGATGATGATTAGTGGAAGGGCAAGAGGGGGAATACTGCATCCAGTGCTCCTGGGGATGGCTAATATTGAGGTGTTTAGGGAAGGGCAGGTGAGGTGCCAGCTCCAAAGAGGCTTTCCTGGGCACCTAAGAGGTCTGGTTAAAAATGTATGTATGTATATATGTATGTATGTATGTATACACTTTCTATAGTCTTGACAAAACTTCAGCAGCCTTTATAGCCCTCAGTGTTTCTCAACCTTGACAATTTTAAGACGTGCACTTCAACTCCCAGAATTCCACAGCGAGCATTGCTGGCTGTGGAATTCTGGGAGTTAAAGTCCACATGCCTTAAAATTGTCACGGTTGACAAACACTGCGAAATGCCTTTTCCGTACTAGATGCTGACACAGGATTTGGTCCATTTCACATCTTTCAAAGCCCAGAATGCAGCAACTTCACTTCCAGCTGCACCCTGAGGCTTCCCCTCCCAACTGGGTAGTTCCAGTCCTCTGACTGGATCAAGATTATCAGGATCATTCACGGAACACACGAAAGCTTTCCTCACCGAAGCCTCAATTTTGCCCTTATTCAGCCTTCCCATTTAAGGCTGCAACATCCCTCTTGGCCAGAGCGGCTGGGGAGGCCGCGAGTGGCAGCCTTTCTGGTTCACAGATTTCTGCAATGGATGAGTTCGCTTCTCGCTGCCCAAGCCTTTTCGGGATCATGATTAATTCGGAGACAGATGACCATCAGGACGAACGCGTTCTTCTTCCAGAGCGCACACTCCTCTCCGTCCCTCCCTCTAATAAATGATGACGTTACTTGTTGAAGTTTGTTTGGAAAGAGCCAGAGATGGATTTTTAAAAGGGGGATGAATCCCAATATCCGGTCGCACAATGAGCCTCCCTCATTCCAACACTGCGGGAAGCGATCAGAGGCGATGGAAAGAATCCCCTCGGCACGCTGTGCCAGGATCTTTCCCAACCCAACCAGCCGCGTTTCCTCCCTCCCTCCCTCCCATTGATCCCGGAGGATGGGCAGGCAGCACTCCAACCAACGATCCGGTATAGCAGCGCCAACCCTCTGTGCCCTCCGCACGCTCGCCTGTCCTTCGACCCCAGGACTAACTCGGCCATCGGGCGGCGCGCCTCGCTCCTGAGCCAATCGGACACTGGGATCGGGCCACCATATGGCGGGATAGGGCTGCTGTGTCTCCACCCATCGCGGTGTGATGCGACGCTCCGGCCAGCCAACCCGAGCGGAGCGTCCCCGCCTTAAGGCAGTTGATCCTGCCAGCCGGAGCGAGCCGGTAAAGGAGCAAGTCGCCGCGGTATTGCGCCAGCCGAGTCCGAGCGCTGCCCAGATCGGTCGCTCCCCATCCGATCCTCCTGCAGCTCCCTAGTCCCCGTTTCGCGTCTCTCGCCGGGAGCACCTGTCGCGGGCAAGAATGGAAAGCGCGAAGAAGAGCAGCTCCGGTTTCCTGCCGCCTTTCCAGCACTTCGCCACGCAGGCTATCCACGTGGGGCAAGAACCCGAACAATGGAGCTCGCTGGCCGTGGTGCCCCCCATTTCCCTCGCGACCACCTTCAAGCAGCACGCGCCCGGGCAGCACAGCGTGAGTGAGCATGGGGTGGGGGGAGGGCGGGCTTCTCTCCCTTTTGGCCCCGCAGAGACTTGCGACATCTCGAAAGCCAGCCCAGGCACCTTCCGCGGATTACAGTCAGGGGTTTTTTTTCGGCCAACGCATCGCTGGAGCACATTCCTTCCTCAAGCGCCCGCATCTGTTCCTCTTAGGGAAATTGCACAATGGCACAATGTGTGCTGTCCGGATCTCTTCTCAAGCCTCTGATATTAATTTCCTAAAGCTATACTTTCGGTCCCATTTCCTGCGATCTTTTAAAAAAATAAGGGAGAAACATATGGTTGAGCCTCTTCAAATATTCAACTACCGTCATATATATAATGTCTCATTAAAATGCATGGTCACAGTTGCCCATTCCCAAAAAAACGACAGAACGACTTCTAATTGGAGGGGAAAGAAAGACGATGGATGGTTAATGATAGTAGCTCCTTTAGTCCTTTTTGTCATGTCACTGTGCAGTCTACAGGCCAAAATAGGGGAACCTCTGTGTGTGAGAGAGAGGGGGGGGGAGGGAGTGCAATAGCCCTGGTATGTGTCTGCTTTCAGTTGGTCTTCCTGATAAAAAGGAGCAATCTTTTTTCCTCTCTCTCTCCCCCCCCCCAAACAGCTGGTGCCTCACTTTGAAAAAGTTAAGGACATGAAGTGCCATTAATTAATTCAAAGTACAGGTGGGCAGGTGCTGTTAGAAAGAGCATCCTAACAACAGGAATAGTTGTCATTGGGACTAATTATGCACAAAACTGAATGGGGTCCATAGCCATCTGCTAGGGATGCTATAATTTTTGTTTTGTATGGCCTCTTCCAGTTCTATAATTCCCTAGGAATGAAATACCTCCTGACATTTGACATGTAGGTGTTTAAAGAAAAAAACTAAATTGAGATCCAGTGCGGAGGGTTGCTTTGGAGAAAGGGATTAATTTTGCCAACCAACAAAGAGACGATGTGTTCCTGAAGTGTCTCAGTTGCACTAAGTGGGGTTTGTTACAAAATAAAACCTCTTAGATGTGGTTTGTGGGTTGTCTTCCTTTTTGGGAATTGACACCATTTGTCTATATCAGTGGTGGTGAACCTATGGCACGCGTGCCAGAGGCAGCACTCGGAGCCCTCTCTGTGGGCACACATGCCGTTGCCCCAGCCCTGCCTCCCCCCCACAGCCACCTCCTCCGCAGCAGCCCCCCTGGAGGAGAGTAACCCCCCCCCGAGCATGGCCCACGCGGAGCAGTGAAGCCAAGGACATGGCAGCCAGGCAGCGTAGGGAAGACTCTGCCCTCATGCCTCATCATGCACAGTTGATGCTGCAGGGCGTGGGCAGAGGGCGTGGTCGCCATGGCCCTGCTGGGCTGCTTGGGTGATCTGCGGCGGGCCCTGGAGGCGGTGAGTGGCCCTGTGAGCAGGCAGGGTGGGGACGGGGCAGGGGGTGGAGCGAGGGTGGGGCCAGTTTTGGGGCACTCAGTCTCTAAAAGGTTCGCCATCACTAGTCTATATGGCAAATTTTTCAAAGTTTCACAACATAGGAGGTGTCCTACTATTCTCCCATCTCCTGCATGCTTTCAAATAAAAAAAAAAAAAACCCACCAGAGAAATAAGTTAGACCAGGGGTAGTCAACCTTGGCTCTTTTATGACTCGTGGACTTCAATTCCTGGCTCAGGAATTCTGAGAGTTGAAGTCCACGAGTCATAAAAGAGCCAAGGTTGACTACCCCTGAGTTAGACTTTCAAGGCAGGGAAAATTGGTCTTTCAGCTGGCTTTTATTGGGGTTAAAATCCCATTGCTTACGTGGAGTTTGCAGCTGGTATATATACCTTAGCTGTATATTTGCGCAGCTAAGTCTGGTGTGCTAACTGCAGCCATTCTTGGAGATCTTAGAACTGTAACACATGCTTGAATTACATCCCATTTCAAATCCTGCTCTGCTTCTCAAATGCATTCAGCTGAAGCAGACCACTGCAGACTACTGGCCTCTGACCAAGCCCAATTATAGGAACATGTAACTCTTATGTAACAACTACTATCCATTTCTGTGGAGAGTTTAAAGGACTTATGATGACCTTTAAGATCTGATTTGGGAACCAGTTCTTCAAGGAGCCATATGTTTACGTTTGTATCTGTTGGGGTTTAAGTTTCTTTTGTGAAGGTCTTCTCTGTCTCATATTGATCAGCAGTATATTTGGCGGAACCATGGGGAAAATAACCTCAGATCTCAAACTTCTTGCTGGTGGTATCTAGGCTTATTCCCGTTTGTTTGCTTGGTAGAAATATATTTTTTTAAAGACTTCGATGTCCAAGATGGCTTGTTTTAGACATTTTAAATGATGTTTCTTTAAAATTCATTCCTGGTTCCATGTTATAAAAATCATAGTGAAATTTTCAGCTCACTATATAATATTTACATTTGTCCAGTTAAAGTATTGAATCCATGTTGAATTTCTGGAATCTTATTGCAGTTCTGAGTAATTGGAAGGAAATGCTCACTCACTTTAACTCAGAAAACACTTGAGGGCAGGGCAAAGCAAACTTGCCTCACTATTCTCTCTATATTATTCACCACAATATGAACATTACATAAATAAGTATTTCTATCCAAAATACTGTTTTAGTAATCACATGCTCAAAATATAACATTCGGTAAAAATAGCATGGCAATTATTTTAAAGCTTTTATGTGCCCAAACCCCTTTTCTTGGTTTTTCTATAGCAATTTAAGATATGCTTACTGTTCAAAAAGACATTTAATGCATAACTAGTTAATCTTTGAATGTTTAGCCAGGAAGGTGCTTTTAAAGCGAAAACTGAAGGGCAGTATAAAAAAAAAAAAACTTGCCATGACATTTCTGCATTTTTATATACAGTAATACCTTATTACCTTAATTTTTTTCTGCCTCTTGGCTAATAAGCAACCAATTCCATTATTACAGTTTTGCAGAGGATGTATTGAAGCTTGTGAATAATCAGTTCTGATGCAACAATGATTGTAGAGATTATATAGCTACAATGCAGGAAACAACATAGGAATAGATAGAAAGATCAACCATGCAGCTTTTTTTTTTTTTTTTTTTTGCATCTGTAGTCAAGTAAGCGAGTCGGCTTAAGTTGGAAAAGTACAAGGGGTTTCTTTGTTCATTTTGGCTGAAAATGCAGTTCTAGCCCACTTGCTTAATATTATCTTACAAAGTAAACTAATATGCATGAAGTTTATGAGTTTATTCTTTCTGTTTTTTAAATAGGGGACATGACGAAAAGCATTGTGCATTTAAGACGCCCTTTAGCTTGCTTATTTATGTATTTATTTATTTATCAGACTTATATGGCTGCCCATCTCATACAATGACTCATAATAATCCATAAAACAAGTTCAAAACTAATATACCCTTCTTGCATGATATGTGAACACAGCCATTGTGGTTTAGTCAATAAGCTCTGTAAAAACAAGCAATGGCTTAGCAAGATGCAGGGACCCAAGTAAGAGAAGGATATTCTTGATATTTGTGCAATCTAATGTTGAATCTTAAAAGAAGTCTGCTCATCCATCAGTCTCTAACTCAGATCAATTGTGGATTCATTTATACAAAAATATTTTTAGTTCTCAAAACTTAATTCATATAACGTGATTCGAGTTCTTAAGTAAATCAGTGCATGGAAAATGCAGTAAACCTTTATAAATGTCACACAAATTGCACCAATATCTGGTTAAGAAGTTTGACATTCTGTGTCCTCTTTTTCCTAGGGCTTTGAATATAGCCGCTGTGGAAATCCCACCCGTGACTGCTTGGAAAAGGCTGTGGCAGCACTAGATGGTGCCAAATACTGTGAGCTATCAATATTTTAATATGAGTAGTAATGATTATATTCTTGTATGAAGACTAGCTTCCTAGGAAAGCAACATACATTTGAAACCTCGATATAATTGCATCTGACATTGTGCAGGGGCATCATTTCATTTTATCTGATTTGTTAAACCAAGTAGAAATCTTGTTCTGAGATATTGATATCTGTATTAATCCATGTCCCCAGACTTAATATAATGGCTAAAATGATAGGTTGTACTTAAATCTCTGGAGTCAATTTATGGGGCAAAGCTTCTATTCCTATCCAACAAACAGGCGTTCAGAGTCACAGGTGATAGTATCTATTTGCTGTAAAGTTTAAATATATTGAAAAAAAAATTATTAATCAAATTTCATTTGCTTCTCTTTTTACTTCAGGTTTAGCATATGCTTCTGGATTAGCAGCAACTGTGAACATTGCACACTTACTGAAGGCAGGAGACACTGTTATTTGTACAGACGATGTCTATGGTGGTAAGAAGTAGAGCAGCATGTGTTTTAAACATTTTTGGATGTAAACTTTTCTGTTGGTGCACCAAAATGATTGAAACAAATTTACTTAATGGTGACATAATGGTGATTGCATTATGAAGAACAACTTGATGGTGAACAGCCACAGTAGTTCAAATATCATTAGTGGATATATTTTTATCACTTCAGATGCAATATATTTTAGACCAGGAGTCCCCAAAACCTGGGCCATTGTCCATTACGGTGGGTGAATGTGTGTGCACACATAGCCCCACTCACACAAGTGGCTGGCTCACGCAACCCCACTTGGAGAGAGATGGGCACACACGCCTGCAGCTCACACAAATGAAGCTGTGTGTTTGCATGCACATACACGTCTGTCCCTCGCACAAAACCATTCCCCCCCCCCCGCAGCAGGCCATCAACCCGGAAAGATTAGGGAATACTGTTTTAGACAGAGGGATTTACCCAGTCAGTTACAGGTATCAATAGAAGGTCTTGCAATTTGTCCTTAGATTTGCCAAATTAATGAATGACACTATTTATCTTTCTTTATATTGCTTATATGCCTTATAAGCTACAGTATTACCTTACCTGACTTAAATTTTAAATGTTTGGGAATTTACAGCAAGAAGTCATGTGTTTGATTTACTTTCTTACCAATCTTTCTCTGGACTGGAAAGCTATGGTTTGTTCTTGTCTCCCAACTAAGAGAGGAGTTGGTTTGGATGACAGGGTAGAAACCATTCTTTGCTGGTTTGGTTGAATTACAGAAAAAAAACCAACCCCATCCCACACTGTTTCTGAATAAAGGGAGAGAAAAGTCCACGAAAGCAGAGTATATGTAATAACAAGTATGGTTTGGCATTGCTGCTTCTGAACATTTTGAAAATTTTGCTTTTGTTATGTGTAAATTGGGGGGGGGGATTACTGAAAGCATTTATGGCAATTTATTTACATGCTATTGAACCAAATAATGATGTTCTGAAACTCTTCTTCCAACTAGCCTAGGTGTGAGAAATAGAATCTACTCTTAAGACTGGAATTAGGGTCCCACAAACTCTTCAGGAGCATGTGGGGCTTTGAGGAGGTAGAGCTTTTGAGGTGGGTCCAGGATAAAACAAGTAAAATGGAAGATTTAGGGTCAGGTGACAAAAGAAGGGAAGAGATATGGAGCAGCGATTTACTCCAGAGCTGGGGGGAGGGACAGACCCAGTAGCCGGGCAGATGAGAGAGACCCCGTCCTAAGGTCTCCATTTAATATTAGTCATTGGGTTCTGAATGTTGCAAACGCTGAGCGCTTTGGCTGCTGAGTGCTCTTCCTGAAGATTGCTCTTCTATGTCCCATTACATGTTTAAAGGCTGGAGCATTCCTAGCAATCCACACCATTATTTGCACTATGTTTTAAGAATGATCCAACTCAATTTGTCTGCAATTTGTCCATCTAGACATTAGAACAATTTTCTATGCATTTTTTTAACATAGGGAAGGCAATGCATTAAATGAGATAAGGCGCGAATTCGGACATAGATTGGCAGAAATAAAGTTTTACTCTGAAGCTTTATTTTTGTTCTTGGAAGATAAATATCTTGTACTTAATAGGCAGGTATTGCAGACCTACATTTGAACTGGCTGAAGATGCAGACCACTACTTTTTAATGGGGAGCTCTGAATAGCTGACCTTTCTGCTACTTATGCATAGAATTTCTAGGACAGCAGCCAAGATGATTTTAGTCATAAACAAAACAGGGTATCCACTTACTTCACAGGGTTAGCCATGTAATATATGCCCTGAGACAAAACGTCTCACATAGCAATAGGAGAAGGAAAACATGTTTCCTCAAAAGCAAGTAATGTTGGATCAATGCCCCCAGCTATACTTTGCTTCCTTTTTTTTTTTTTGATCAAGTGAAGATACTAATAATTTCTTTTTCAAAATGCCAAAAATGTATACAGTGTAACAGCAAATTATGAATCCATATCAGAATTGTGTTCCCCCTCCCTTTAATTCCTTCTGGAGCTCAATGTTATAAGGCATTTTCAACACACATTGTGTGTAATGAAGGGGATTGGGATTTTTTTAAACGGAGAATCCATCAGGAAAAGTTCACCTCCTTCTTAAGATACTGTTAAAAATGACTAAAGTTTCTTTAATGGTTTATTTACAGTATAAGTAAGTATCATTGTGTTCTTTGGTGCTTCCCTCACTTTTCCTAATTTTCTCAGTTAACCTTATTGCGAGGGTAAACATATGTGGGTCAACTCATATAATGTATGCTTTCTAGAGTGCATTGGGATCTTTTTCCCAGAAAGCTTGTAAATAGGCTTGTAGCTTTGAAAATATTTTTTCTGGGAATGCTTGATGACACCATGGTATGCAGACTAGAGCATTTGACATTCTGTATTGGAACACAGTCAAGTTGATGAAAGATTTCCAGCAACTGTAAAGTTGTTTACAAAAGGTTCAGTAGTCCAAGTAGCTTCATACATACATACATACATTCATACATACATACATACAAACACACACAAATATGCAGATTGCAATCCTAACTTTAGGACTCCAAAAGCTCTCTTTTAGGACTGTGACCAAATATTTTGACTCCCTTTTGTGTTCTGAGTGTCTTAAGGCTTTCCAAGTGCTCATGATACTCGTTTCATCTCTTAAAATACTTGAATTCGCCCTTTGAAAAGGGGCATTTTTAGAGTGCAGCCCTTTATATGTGGAAAACAAAGCTTGGTTCATTCCTTTAGCCTATGGAAATTGCCATCTCTGTTCTGCATATTGCACAATATTGCCAATTTTGTATGATAAGAGACATGGCAGTTACAGAAGAAACACATAACCCCTTTTCAGGAGAGATTTCAAAATCTAATCTGGTATTGGTTTTACCAAATGGCATCCACCCTCCCGGATGTAAAATAAGCTTTCCTAGTATCTTCTCCTGAATTCTTGTTATATGGAGATGACTGTGGTTGAGTCCAGGATCTTTTATATGGAAGCCACAGTTGATATTCTACTAACTGAGTATTTTTCTCTCTACAACAAGGTTTCCTCTGTGCTGCAATCAGCAGAGTTTCTGCACTGAGCAACAGGGTAGCTCTTGAAACTTTTTTTAAAAGGCAGAGTAGAAATATGTTAATAAGATATTAACATAACTATTTTTCAGTTAGGCAGCCCATTGCAGATAAGATCATCAACAGTGTTTAATATCAGTACTGTATGAAGTGCTGACGATACTAGAGACGTCATTCTTTCCAAAAGACTGAAATAGCATATAGAGTTTAGTGGCACATTCTCCTAATGACATTAATAAAGATAAGTCTCTTTCCACTGTAGGCACAAATAGATATTTTCGAAGAATCGCAACAGATATGGGTCTAAAGGCTGTTTTTGTTGACTGTACCAAACTGGAATGCCTTGAGGCTGCAATTACACCAGAGACCAAGGTAATAAAATAACATTCCCAGCATGACTATATGGCAGATTAGAATTTTCTGCAGTATATAAACATTGAGTTTTATTGCCTTTTTTTTGCTAAACATGAAAGTCATCTATATCACATAACTCTGACCTTATGCATAGGATTCAGTCTGCCTCTAGCCATCTATTTGGACTGGGTGAATTTATTTAGGGACAGAATGTTCAGAATTTCCTACAGAGTTGTATGTACCTGTAGAAATGGCTACAGCTCATGGGTGTTATTCTTCTAACTCTCAGGAGCAGCTTCAAAGATTTTGTATCATGCATGAATAGGGTTTATGTTTGGTTACAACTGATCAGAGCAAAAATGTTGAAAGAGATTAAGGTGATAAGATGTAAGATGTTGAGACTCTAGAAAGAGTACAGAGAAGAGCAACAAAAATGATTAGGGGACTGGAGGCTAAAACATATAAGGAATGGTTGCTGAAATTGTATATGTCTAGTTTAATGAAGAGAAGGACGAGGGGATGACATGATAGCAGTGTTCCAGTATCTCAGGAGTTGCCACAAAGAAGAGGGAGTCAAGCTATTCTCCAAAGCACCTGAAGGCAGGAACAGAAGCAACGGATGGAAACTAACCAAAGAGAGAAACAACCTAGAACTAAGGAGAAATTTCCTGACAGTTGAGAATCAGTAGAACAACCTGCCTCCAGAAATGATGAATGCTCCAACACTGGAAGTTTTTAAGAAGAGACTGGACAGCCATTTGTCTGAAATGGTATAGGGTTTCCTGCCTGAGCAGAGGGTTGGACTAGACCAACTTATTGTTGTTGTTGTTGTTGTTATTATTATTATTAATTATTATTATTATACAGATTTATACAGGTAGTTATTTAGTGAGTAATGAAGTTACAACTGAAAAAAATTGACTTATGACTATTTTTCACACTTACGGCATTATAACATCTCCATGGTCATGTGATAAAATTTGGATGCTTGGCAACTGGTTCATATTTATGATGGTTGCAGTGTCCTGGGATCATACGATCACCTTTTGCAACCTTTTCACAAGAAAAGTCAATGGGAAAACTAGGTTCACTTAATAACTATACTACTAATTTAACAACTGCAATGATTCACTTAACAACTGTGGCAAGAAATGGGACAAAATCACTTAACAAATGTCTCACTTAGCAAAAGAAATTTTGGGCTCAATTTTGGTCGTAAGTCAAGGACTACATTAACAGAGTGTGCTGTGCTAAAATCATCTTGTGTTGTACAAGAAAGAGAGTAAAGTAAATTTATCAGCTGATGTCTTTGCCAATGTTGGTAGGTACAATATTAGCTGGAGAACATTAATATGTAATGCTAGAAGACTGTGAGAAAATTGCATGTTTCCCAACATCCAAATGTGTCATAACACAACTGGAGCAATAAAACATGGATCAGTTTTAAAAATGGATAGAATCTGTCTGGGTTTTCATAATCATTTTTAAGACTTTCATAAGAAACCACAAAACAAGTGAAAATGTAATATCAGCCGATCTGAAGTGATGATGGAGGCTTCCTAAAGCTCTTTCAGAGCTCTATGAGAGGCCAAGGTAAGATTTTTTTAGTAGCTTAAGCATTCCAGTTGAGCTGATGAAAAGTATTTTTCATTCCTTTTTAACAAGTTTGGAGAATTCAGTGTCCTGTATAGTTGAGGCTGCCATGTTCCATATAGATTCCCCTTGCTCCTACATTTTATCTCACAATGGGTCTGCGAGATAAATGTAGTGACTGGTCATGATAGTAAGAAGTGAGAATCTGGGTCTGTCTAGTTGTAGTCCAGGTCTTGTCCCAGTATTAGCTTTTTCCAGATGTGATTGTTGTGCATAAGAAATGATGCAGTTTGTTTATTTTTTCAAGACTCTTTGCTTAGTGAGATTCCTGTGTCTTTTGCTAAGAGCTTTGAACTTACAGGGTTTTGCCAACATTTATTTCAGTGGGAAGAACAAGCTAACTCTACAGATTGCACTGTATAAAACAAGATACACTTTTTGTTAGGTAGTTTTGACTTAATTGTGGTATGGTTTGATAGGGCAAATCCTAGTGCCTATAAGTAGCACATTTGCTGTAGAACTTTTCGGTGAAATAACAGAAGGATAATTTCCTCCTCCTTGCCCTGTCTTAACAATTTTTTTTACAAATCCAGAGGCTCTCTGTTATTTAATCTACTCTAGTCTTGATTCAGTGGCTTCTCCCATGCAGAATTGAGGGTTGCTGCCTGTTGGCTAGTAATGCAGTAGAACTGACACATGGATGATATCATCGTGAGATGTACAGATAATTAGGGGTAACTAATTGAAGGATTTAAAACATAAAATTGGATGGTGTTACAAAATACATAGAATCTTATATGCAATATTAGAGCATCTACCTGTGGCGACCACATATAACAAGCCAGGAGCAAGAACTATTTTTTCTAATTACTTTATTAGAATATATTCTGCACACCTGCACTTACTTATGCCTATAGCGCACCTATAAAAAAGAGGAAGAAATTAAGAGAGAGGAATGGAGAGAAAGACAGAAAGTCCTTATCTGATCAGTTGGCAAACAAAGATTTCAGAATTCTTTGATTTGAAAGGGATTGGGGGCCGTTTCCTCGCAAACTGCTTTTTTAAAGTGCTTCCTACACAATTCAACTCTGTTTCAGGATAACTATAGACAGAGTTGAAATATTTAAAAGTTTCTAAATATATTTCCAAGGAATCATTTGGGCTGACCAATAGTAAATAATGAATTTCCTTCACTTTCCCATACATCTTAGGGAAGTAGTAACAAAATAAGGGGTCTTGTGTGTGAAAAAAAGAATGTTCTCAACATTATCTTGTAGCATTTAATGTCTTTCAAAAGTATTAATGAAAAAACAACATTATCCTTTAAAGTGGATACTTTCCAATAATATATATTTAATATCCTTCTCTTCCCAAACTAACAGCTTGTATGGATTGAAACTCCAACAAATCCAATGCTGAAAGTTGTTGACATTCAAGGATGTGCAAACATTGTTCGTAAACACAAAGGAGTTATTTTAGTCGTAGACAATACTTTTATGTCTGCATATTTCCAGGTAAGTCAATTTTCATTGGTTTGCTTTAGCTGCTTTTATTAGTATAGCACATCTCATCTGTTAAATGCTTTTCGTTATTTTACTTTTATGACTCTGTGATTCTCATTTTTACAAAGGAAAAAATAATGATAATACAACAGCCTAGTAAACATTGCAAAATGGCAGAAGTAGGGTGTGAAATTGGGTACTCAAAATGTATTGATTAATAGGCATCTAAAACCTTAGCTGTTGTAAACAGTCCACATAATGTACAATAAAACCATCACAATAATTACACAATTAGAATGCTATCACCAGATGCAGCAGTGCAAACAACTATGGAATGTAAACCCATAATAAGTGAGGATAATGTTCTAATAGTCCCAAGAGTCATTTTAAACATATTTGAATGTGAAAATGACTCTGATTGGCATCAAAAGGATTGTGCCTCAAACAATAGTTTTGGGGAAGCCATGGCATGTCACTACCAACTATGATCACACGTTTCATCTCACATGGTAGAACATATCACAAAGGGCTCGTATGAAAAGTGTTTTGGGGGGGGGCAGATATTTGACTCTCTTTCAATAGAAACATCAGGAATCCCATTAATACTTGATTCTCTTTTACACAATGAAGCTGTAACTCTAAATACACTTTATTGAGTCAATTCCACTAGTCATACAGTGGTGGATTTTATTTCTGAATTAACATACAGTGGTTGCGCTAAGGACCAAGAAATTTAGGATTGAAAGATGCAAGTGTAAATGTTCTAATTTAATATTTTATTGGAAAACAGGAAGTGTTGTCAGGACTGGTAATAACAGGGCTACATTGAGACAGCCTTTAGAAAATGAGGTGACAAGTAGAAACAATTTTAATTCCATAGAATGTGACAATGTTGTGAATCTATCATCCAACCATTCAACAGCTAATCATTCCTAACACAATAGCTAATGTAATAGAGGGAAATAATTCCACTAAGACAAAGAGCTGCAGAATGCAGAAGAGGATGAAATATATTTATTTGTTATATCAATTTATATAGACTTCCATCTCACAACTGCAGCTCTAGGCGGTGTGCGTAGGATTAAACCAGCAAAATAGAACATCGATGTTCTGACATAACATTCCAATCATGTGAACAAATGCAGTCATGCTTTTTGAAAACCATATTCTCTGTGTCTAGAAGAGTTTCCATTGTACTTAGGCCAGAGGCCAATCTGATTAGCATTGAAACAAGAGGTTGGCTAATAATGTCTTACTACTTTAGAATCTATCTATCTGTCTGTCTGTCTATCTATCTACTCCCACCAGGTTTCTGACCCCAGTCCCATGCAATATCTTTAAATCTAGATATTATGTAACATTAAGCAAGAAACTGAACCACCTTGGCAGGTTCCCTGACTTCTGTCTAAATGTAGAATACAATAAAGCCAAGAAGCTTATTAAGCAAAGAGTAGAAGATACTGAATGTTAGCATTAGCAGGAGCCCCAAGGTTAGGTCATCACCTCGGTGATTCAAGGGAACTAGAGCCTAGAGTCAAATCAAACACTTGGTTGATGGTAGCACTTTGATTTTCTTCAACCCAGGCCTGCATATTGATACACTACTGATACACCAAATAGGAAAAGAGACAAACTGAATTTGAACTGAGAGCTGTATTTTCCCTTCCTTTCTCTTACTGTTTGTTCTTCCATAGTTGATATTCAAACTTCATTTCCCTTTAAACCTTTTCAGGTTCACATCAATGAAATGTCAGTGATAATTGGCCTTTCTCTCAATAGCCTAATCTCTGCATAGCAGGAATTGCTTGAAAATTGTTTGCAGCATGCCTCAGTATTCACTGGTAATTGCTATTGATTTTCTTAACAGAAAATGAAATACGTCTCTTATTTTGTTCTGTTGTAGCGTCCTTTGTCTTTAGGAGCAGACATTTGTATGTATTCAGCAACTAAGTACATGAATGGTAAGTAGTTACGCTTGCAGGCTATGTTGAATTTATTTTGTAGTAAGCAATAATAATAATAATGCTTTTTATATGTTCAAATCTTTTAAATACATGTTAGATCTTTATTGTATTCATCTTGAAAATGAAAGTGAAATTATATCCCTTATAATGTAATTCATAAACAGATGATGCATTTCCTAACGTAGTGCTTGTAGTCAGTGCTTGTGGCTTACATTCATTTTCTTTAAATATGTTTAAATATATCTAAAATAGCTCAAGGTGGGGTTATATCTGAATATGTATCTTATTGGCATGTATTTGCATTTTTAATATTTGCCCTGAGAACTGGAGAAGTGCTTGAAAACCATATTGTTTCTAATTGGTCCAGTTCTGACAGGGAATCTTTCTTCTGCTGTTCTGGTAATCTGGGCTGTCTTTGAACATCATTTGTGTCTCCTATATCCAACATTGTTTTAAAAAAAACTTCTCTTACCTTACCTTAGAAAATCATGCCATTCCATACCATTGCAAAATCATTGCAACCAAGCTCTCGGCTAATTGGCTTTAAAAAGATAAATACTACAGAAATCTAGTATTATGGCTTGAAATTTCATTAGAGTAACAGAATGATACTGGCAATGATACCTGTAAGTGGATGGACCAGTTTCCACATCACATTTACCAGGCTTATTGTTAAAGAAACATTACAAGAAATAACACAACCACCTGGTTCTTTCCTCTGCGATGTCATATCCTAAACTAATGTGAAGTGGGCTCTAGACTGTTGCTTTTCCCACTTGTTAGAATAAGTGTTAGAAGAAGGTCATAAGCAATCTAAAATCAAATGATGACTTTGCTCACTGTTGTTTTCCAGACAAATAAAACCACAGCCCATTGTTTGGTTGTTATTCCAATTTACGATAACCACAGATGCTCATTAGTCTACATGTGGGAGAAACCAGTTGTCAGGTGCAAGCATATTCACTGCCTCATTGTCAACCTACTTGTGATATTTGAACATGCTCAGCCTGTAAATAGATCTGATCACTTGCCTCTTATATTTTCAGGACACAGTGATGTTGTAATGGGATTGGTTTCACTAAATAATGATGAACTTCATGAGAAACTCAGATTCTTGCAATATTGTGAGTATGAAGATCAAACCCGAAAGTGTGGCTTGCTGATTTTGTAAAGTAACTCTGCTTGACATCCCTTTAGTGTTTTAAAAAATCTTTAGCAAAATGGATTCATTGCCTGTTTAATCTACCCACCCTCAGTACAGAAAAGACACTGTATTAATTGGTGTTTTGTATTTTTTGTATTTTTTTAACACTTTGTAGTTTGGGACACTTTGATGCTACGTTGGAAAAGATAAAACAATTGTAAGGAAAATCTAAACCTAACGTTTATCTACAAAATAAGTACTATTCCTTCAGTCAAAATAGATGTGATTTTGCAGACCTGTACCTGGGGTTTCCTGTCAATTTTGTTTTGTATTTCAAAGTGGTTACAGAACAGTCTCTTAAAAAAAATAATCTGGGATAGGAATGCAAAGTGTGTGAGAGTTAATCTTCCATTTCTATATTTTCTTAATCAAAATTAATTTCTATCTCCTAGGAGTCTACTGTTAGAGTCCACCCCATCCCTCAGTAGAACTACAAGTCCACAGATTTCATCTGCTTTGGGCAAACTAATAATACTAATATTAATAATAGTAATAACGATTTGTTAAATGTATTTGCTACTTATCTCACCATGGGGCTACTTTGGGCAGCTAGTCATATTGTGGCCCAAAAGCCAGTTTGGTCCAGTGGCTAAGGCACCAGACTAGAACCAGGAGACTGTGAGTTCTAATTCTGCCTTAGATATAAAAGCCAGCTGAGTGACATTCTGTCAGTCATTCTCCTTCAGCCCACCTTACAGGGTTATTGTTGTGAAGAAAATAGGAAGAAGGTGTGTTGGATATGTTCGAGTTATTTGTAAAAATTAATGAAGGTGGGATACAAATAAATAAATAAATAATGGAACACCAATGGACTGTTGAGTGGATCAAACTCATTTATTATTTTGTGTTGTTATTTTAACCTAGGGAATACTTTAGTTCTAACAACTGGCATATTTGTTTGAAAAAAAAAATGATACAAAATGCAATATGCCAAAAAGAGAATATTTTTTTTCCCCTCTTATAGCCATTGGAGCAATTCCATCTCCTTTTGATTGCTACCTTTGCAACCGAGGTTTAAAGACTCTGCCAATCCGCATGAAACAGCATTTTCGCAACGCATTGACTGTGGCCCAATATCTTGAGTCAGATCCAAGGGTTGAAAAAGTCATCTTCCCTGGTATGTTGCCCTCAGATAACCTGGAAGTCTTCCTAGAAAGATTTTTATATTCCATACCGGGCAGGACCTGATGAGCTACCTAACTAAAACTCCAATCTTTTATCATCATTAGTAAGCCTCCTTAAGTTGGTTTCTTCCACATATACTTCATAGTCATACCACTTCCTGCTGCATATCATCTTGATTCCATAAATCACTGGTTCCAGTTTTAAATTATACATATTCCTGAAGGGCTCCTAGTGTTACTAAGCAAAAGTCATTATGAAGCAATGCCCCCTTTTCAATAGATTTTCTCTGAAGGGGAAAAGGAGGAAGGAATATTGGAGAAAGATGGCGGGATTGCAGATAGGTGATGTCATCATCTTCTAGATGCCCTCATACACTGCTGTTGGTAAGAACAGGCAATTAAACAAGAAAAGCCTCATCGGGAAACATCTACATAGGTCAACTACTGAATGTGTTTGTTTGAGCTAAAGTAATAACACAGGCTGGGTTGTTTGTGTAATGTATGATTCATTGCAGGATTACAGTCACACCCACAATACGATCTGATGCAACGTCAGTGCACAGGCTGCCCAGGAATGATTTCCTTTTACATCAAAGGAAACCTTGAAAATGCATCTCGATTCCTTAAAAACTTAAAGGTAAAACTTATCATTGTAGAATGCTTCTAAAAGAGCCACATCGCTATCTTGTGACTTTGTCAGGAGTCGTGTACTGTACTGTGGTCCCTGCTGAAGTCTTTATGGATTTTGAGCATTTGTAGGAGCTCCCAAAATGTAACTAGCCCATGTAGTTATAGGAAGTGGCACTAATGAAAGGGAATGGAATGAGTGTATCCATATGAATGGGAGTCAAGCAATGTGAGCCATATAATTGCTCTCTAGCTGCCTCTCTGCCATCTTCCTCCACAATTATAGATGGAATCTGGAAAGCAAAACAGCTTTGGCTGATGTAACAGTGTTGTGCTGCTTTTGAAATCTGAAGGCACCAAGCTAGAAAGTAGAAGACTGACTTCAGGTCCCACCTTAGCCATGAAAGCCAGCTAGGTGACTTTTGGCCAGCCACTCTCTCTCAGCCGAACCCATCTTGCAAGATTGTAGTTATGTGATAATAGATTGAGGAAGATGTATCGGAGACTGCCTTGGGTTATTTATAAAAAAAATAAATAAAGGCAAAATTCAAATAAATAAATTATACATTTGACTTCAGAAGTCAATTCATTGATTTGTATCATTGGAAAAAAACATTGATTTTTAAACATAGCTGTGCAGTCAAATCTCTTGGATATCTACTAGCTGTGCATTATTTATCTTGGTTTATAGCCACTGGTTGTAGCCAAATGTGATTTTGTCAGTACCTGCATCTAGATTAATGTGCATTTAATTAAATGTTCTGTTTGGTGACAATATTTGAGAATACTGCAGAAGCATCCCAAGAATCAAGAACGTGGAAGACGTGTATTCTAATTGGGATTAGAGCTGTAAGAATATGTTAATAATCGGGATTTTGAGATTAAAGCATCATTTTATTGGTAGTACAATGTTTCCCAGTCTTTCTGACTTTCAGGTTTGTGGACTTCAACTTCCAGAATTTCCCAATTACTATGACTTGGCTGAATATTCTGAGAACAAACTCCATACACCTAGAAGTTGACAAGGTTGGGACTCACTGCTTTAGTCACTGGGTGGACAGTGTGTATGATCCACATGTAATTTCCAGTCTTTCATTCATGTGTACAAACACACACACACACACACACACACACACACACACACACTGTATATGCCACTGATCTCATTATCCAGAATGATTCTGGGTGGTCTACAATAAAAATAGATATATAACAATTATAAACATGAGGACAGTTAAAATTACTAAAATGAAATAGCGATCCGCAGAGCACTCCTAGCTGACTGAGTTAATTCAGTTGACCACTGAAATTTGTCAACAAAAATAACTGATTTTCTGCAAGGCTAATGTTTTACTAAATTGAGAGTCTAATGTTCACTCACTACAAGACTTGATGGAACTATTTTGACCTTTAAACCTCCCCCTTCAAAGATTGATCCTTTTCAGTCTTACCCACCTTGTACTATTAGTTTAACTCGGGAGTGGGCAACAATGGACCCTTTATGACCTGTGGATTTCCAGCTCCTAGAATTCCTGAGTCAGCCATGCTGGCTCAGGAATTCTGGGAGTTGAAGTCCACAAGTTATAAAGTTGCCACAGTTGTCCACCCCTGGTTTAACTCCTGGAGCCAAAACACCAGTCTTAAAAGAGCAAGTCCTGCTTCTGCTCAATTCGTAGTCCCAGATCAAAGTGTTTTTATTGCCAATGTATGAATAAAAGCCAACTAACTATTGAATCTTAGTTTCTCACACCAATCTGAGACAGTAACCTAACTTAGAAAGTAGAGAGCAGGCCCCTCTATGTTTTCATGCCTGAGGTAATACAAACAACCCAGCCTTCTGTTTGAAGGCCACACCAGCCTTGCTGGCCACTGAAACTCTGTTAAATAGCAGGATCTTACTGTTCTTCTGTGCAGGCATTGACAAGTTTATAGTGAAAGGGAATTTCACAGAGGAAGATCCCTGAAAATACCTGAGATCACTCTATACTCTTGAAAATAACAGTACTAGCTAGGAACGTAATGTCTGAGAGACTTCTGACCCTTAAAAAAAATAAGGAGAAGAAATGGCCAGAATATCAGAGAGTGTTTTTGTGCTATCATTGTTGCTACACTTTTGCCTGCGAGGTAATATTTGCAAACAGTTTGCCAACAGCATTTGCAAACAAAGCATTATTCTTCTATCAGATGAGGCCATTCTAATCTGCAGGCAATGAAAGAACATCCTTTGCATTTGATGGACGTGTCCTGAATTGTGTTAGATGCTTATGGGATTTTAATTAATTTTGACTATGGCTTGCCTTTTAAAAAAAAGTTATGTAAAGTTTTTTATGTATTTAATATTTTATTTGTATCCTGCCCAGAGTCCCCCTGCGAGATGGGCAGTTTTCAAAAACTGATAAAAAAATAAAAGCCACTTTTATGGTTGACTGGAATAAAAGTATGCTTTGTCTTAAATTTTTAGGTTTCATTTTATTTAGTTTCAGATTCCCAGAATTTATCCTCTGAAGTTAAAAGGCAATTTAGTATCTATTACTGATATCAAATTTGGGTTTTCAAGAGAAGATGGCCTGGAATGAAAGGAAATTTGTGCCTTTTGTTTTGATTAAGTATGCTGCATTTCTTGCATCTTAGTTATTTATTTTGCAAAAACAGTTTCTGTTGTTTGCTCTGTCCATTTGCTTTTACTAGGCTAACACACAATTAAGTTTGCATAAGAGTACATTGCATGTCTTAAAATAAAAAATTGAATTAATATTATTTGAAATACAGTATAATTTTTATATTCCTTGTTCTAGCTTTTTACCCTCGCTGAAAGTCTGGGAGGATATGAAAGTCTAGCAGAGCATCCGTAAGTAATTTTTTCTGGCACCCCTTAATAAATGTATTTCACTGATATTTATCAAAATACTTGATACTTTAATATTCACTTTGTGTGCTCCAACTAAACAATATGAGTTTGCTTATATCACCTTTGCAAAGTTTACTTGGAAATTGTATCTTCTTTCTTGTTCACTTTTATGGATGTTACTCTTCCATAAGTCTCATCTTTTCTGTGATAAACACTGCCATTGTTCAAATAGCTAAATCAGTGTTTCTGAACTCTGAACTCTTTAAGATATAGGGAACTCAGCTCCTGCAGTTCCATAACCAGCATTGCCAATTTTGAAAAACACCGATCTGAAGAAAATCAGAGAAGTACAAATGGCAAAGCCTTGTAAAAGTTAGGTTACAGGGATGATCAGACAGAAAAGGAAACCAAAATCTGTTTAACTTTGCCCCCCCCCCCGAATATTAATGGAAGTAAATAGGTCCTATGTTTCTATATATTTTACATCAAGATGTAGGCATTTTATGATCCCTGGGCCATATCCGGCCCTTGGCTGTCACTGTTTGGCTTATGTGAGGTCAATCAGAAATTAGAAATCAAATGTAAATAAGATATAACATGTATTCTTACTAGTTGCAACTAATCAAAATCATATAATTTACTACTTCTTTTATAAAGCAATAAAGTTAATATTAAGCAAATTAAGTTCAGCCTGTTGGTTCAGCTGTTCAAAACAGTTCCAGTTTCTCATATGGCCCCTTGGGAAAATTAATAGCCCATCCCTGCTTTACATACAAATAATACAATGGATTGAAAATAATAACCTTGGTACAAGGATTCATGCTTGAAACTCTTTGCTTAGGAGCCTCTGATAATACAATGCCAGCCACAGCAATTTATGTAGAATTTCTTCTTGCATAATTTTAGTCACACTTGCCCACATGGCAGTAGCTACTTACTTCCCTTTTGGTCAGAGAGTTGCAACTTCCTACCGGCTTCCTCACTGACTCTTCTGGGAAGTCGGTAGGAAGTTGCTTCACCTAATAATTGTGGGATTTGATTAAAAATGGGAACCAGAACTGCAAGGATTGTACTCTTTAGTAGTGGAAATTTCAATCACAATTGCCATCATAAGTTGAGAACTACTTAGACTCACCTGTATCCTTTTTCCAAAATTCACATTTTATTGCCATCTATGTTTCAGTTCTAAATGAGTACATTTGCTGTTTAGAATTTTTATTTGATATGTGCTTATATTTAAACATAGTACAGTAGAAGATATAGTTTTACTGGTAAGATTAACATAATAATTTTTGTTATTTATGACATACATTTTAAAAATCCTAGTAGAAGCTATACTAAATAACATTTAGTTCAATATGTTGAATGTTATTTTTTTTATAACAGCCTTTTTCATATTCACTGCTATATCTTTTACCCTATCTTTCTGAAAAAAAAACATTTATGTCACAATATTTTACATTAATTTTCAGGGAAGTGTAAGCTAAGTTTTTGATTATTGTATTTTTCCATTTATAAGATGCACCCTTGTATAAGATGCTCTGGCATGTGAGTTCCAAGCTTACAGCAAACAAAGTCAGTGCTGGGACAACCACCTCCCAGCGCTCTAAATAGATGCCTCCAGGCTGGCCCCATCCCCCACCCACCTAACCAGCATCCGGCACGATGACCATGCATAGTCAGTTCACAGCAGCAGCCTTCAGACCCTGGTAAACAAACCGGCGTGACCACAGGCATGACAGCAAGGCAAGGGAAGCGAAGGCAGATTTTAAACTCCCCACCGTTTCTCCGCGCTAATCAGCTGTTCGGTGGAGTGCTGAACAACTGAGCTGGCAAATCCGGAAGTTCGGCTGGCTGACGATCTTGCCCCCTTCTCCCTCCCATTAGTGGCAAATCCACAGGGGCTTGACACCTGCACCAGGCAGCATGGTAGCGGCATGTAAAAAATCCACACAGGCATGCCCTGGGCTGCGGAGGTTACCATTATTTTTTCGTGTATAAGACACTGCACTTGTATAAGGCGCACCTGATTTCTGAACAGAGTGTTTGCAGGAAAAAATAGTGTCTTATACAAGGAAAAATACGGTATATTAATACTCACCTGTAACCAATACTCTGCTGACAAACATCAATTTCAGTATCTTGTTCTCTCTACTTGTCAGATTTCCCAATCTTGGTGCCTTCCATATGTGTCACATTATAATTTTCATTAGCCACAATATTGATTATAGATTGTCCTTGCCTTATGATGACTATTGAGATTCAAGTTCTATTTAAGTCATAAAGTGAGTCATCATATGACAGACAACCAGACGGTTGTTAAGCAAATCATCACAGTGGTTAAGCAAGGCATGTTATCTGGCTTCCCCAATTGATGTTATGTGAGTTTCTGAACCAAGCCAGGCTGAAGCCATCTTTGTTGTTCTGAGTTGCCACAAATTGGGAGAGGGGAATCTAGGGGAAAACAGTGCAGACAAAACACCAAACGATCTCATGGGAACCAAGGTCATTCCTGCAGATGTGGGAGGGAGGAGTGGAGAAGCCCACTAACTACTTTAATTGGATAGCATGAACTAGAGCAGTGGTCCCCAACCCTGGTCTGCGGACCGGCACCGCTCCGCAGCATTCCAGTAAGCGGGCCGCACAAATAAGCAAAGCTCCATCCTCGGGATGCAGACAGTATTCAAAATCACACTCCCTCTGGTCTGCGGAAAAACCTTTCTCCTTGGTACTGGTCCCTGGTGCCTAAAAGTTTGGGGACCTCTGATCTAAAGCACAGCAGAGGGGAGGGGGGTATTACTTTTAGTTACTTTGAATCTCTGGGGAAAAGTTGAGGCTTGGTTTCACTTTTAACTGTGCCAATAATATGTATCCAATAAACGTGTTTTGAGGAGACTTCAAGTCTCGGAGTTTTGTTTTACTTGGTTGCATTAGTCGGAAACTTGACATATTGCTTGTCGGAAACCTGCTGGGAAGTTCACAAATTGTGATCACATGACCATAGCATGCTGCAATGACAGTGGAGGAGCAGTTTGCAGACTATTATGGGGGAGCACTTTTTCAGTCTGTAATACTCAATAATTGATTATATATGTTCTTATAGAATCATATATATATATTCATATATACTTTTATATAATTTTAATAAGCTCTGCATCTGGAAACCAAGTTCTAGTCCTGCCTTAGGCTCAAAGCCAACTTGATGATGTTAGTCCAGTCACTTTTTCTCAGCCCTTGAAAGGAGACAATGGCAAATCACTTCCAAAAACCCTTGCAGAGAATATTTTAAACTGGGATTTCTTCCTCCTCCTTCCATAGATCATTATTTCTGTTAGTATCCTCAAGGTTAAAAACCTATTTAAATCCCCAAGTTTAGCCTATGCACACATACCTTTGATTTCAAGTGAGCTTGCTCTAGGGTTAAGAATCTCCTGATAGCAGTTGTGTAAAAATGGTTTACTATTGGAAGAATAGCTCTTCTGTTTTCAATTGCGTAAAGTGTTTCTTTCAGACAATATAATTTGGCATTTTCCCATCCCAATTTGCTGCCTTCCAGATGTATAGGGAATAGCTAGAATTGTGGAAGTTGCATCACAATAAATCTGAAGGATGTTCCACAATGCCAGCCCATGGATATGATCTGAATTCTCTTTTTTTCCTGAATTCAGAAAAAAATACTGTCTGTCTACCTTCTATCTATCTAGCTAATTATACTGCCAATCTTGCCAAAGGTGACTTTTGCAAATGGATTGATAATAGAAGCTGGTATCTCACTTTTTGTATACAATTTTGTACATTTTACTATATTTTCTGGTGTTAGCTGATATGTTTCCCTTATTTATAATTCTGCACTCCCAGACTATTTATTCTTTTCCAGAGCAATCATGACTCATGCCTCAGTTCCAAAGGAAGACCGAGAGGTCCTTGGAATATCTGATACGTTAATTCGCATATCTATTGGGTTGGAAGACTCAGAAGATTTACTAGAAGATTTGGACCAAGCTCTGAAAGCAGCAGTAAGTCACTTCATACTGTATTCACCATATAATGCACAAAGTCTTTTATTAACTCCTTATAATTCTTCAGTATTTTCTGGAAAAATAATATTTTTTATAATTTTGATATTCCTTTGGCCAAATGACTTGAAAAAAATAGCACATTTATTTCATCAAGATGTACAGCTGCTTTAATTTGCATGTAAACACTTAATTTCACTTTCTTCCTAATCACTTTTACTTATTAAACTTTCCTGTTTATTTGAGTACTGTTTAATTTAATTTTTAATTTTAATTTTTCTGCTACTGGCCATTATATCTATATTTTCAGTTATTAATGACAATGCCAAATGGCTAGGAAAATGTAATTGCTTATGGGATTCCCAAAGGCATCTTCTTTGCTAATCACATACAGAACAAAATACTGAATTTAAGAATTCTTTTATTTAATCCATCATGGCTGTTATCATGCTGGCAACATTATAAGTTGTTTCACCATTATGCAAAATTCACCTTGTGAAAACTATAATGATGAAATTCTAAAGCAACAAATCAATTCTGCTTTTATATGAGCCAAAGACAGTGCAGAGTAGCAAATCCTTTTTCCAGCTACTTGCCTATAGAAAGGATACCAGTCCAATTATCATGGAATAGGATATATGCTGAGAAGGAGAGCAAGAAATGCAGGTAGTCCTCAAATTACAACCATTCGTTTAGTAACTGTTCAAAGTCACAACGTAACTGAAAAAAAGTGACACCACTGGTCCTTGCACTTATAACCCTCACAGCATCGCCATGGTCGTGTAATCAAAACTTAGGTGCTTGTTAACTGGCATATATTTAATGCCAATTCCAGTGTCCTAGGGTCCTGGGATCATTATTTGTGACCTTTCCAACTGGCTTCGGACAAGCTAAGACAACAGGGGAAGCTGGATTCATTTAACAACTGCATGATTCACTTAATAACTGCAGTGATTCACTTAACAACTCTAGCAAAAAGATGGTAAAATTGGGCACAGCTCACTTAACAACTGCCTTGTTTAGCATCAGAGTTCTGGTCCCATTTATGGTCATAAGCTGAGGATAACCTGAAGTACTTTAATCATTTAGAATTCTAGAGGAGGAGTGTAGTGCAGGAAGAACATTTTTGTTACTTAAAACAGGGGTCCCCAACCTATGAGTTGTGTCTGCCTATGAACCACTGGGTGGTGTGAGTGGCTGGCCAGTGCACATGTGTGTGTGTGCACGCGCACAGCCCCACTTGCATGAGTGTCACCAGAAGCGTTGTGGGTGTTCGTGGCCCCACTCATGGGAGCATCCTCAGGAGCGTCACGGATGTTTGCAGCCCCACTCGCATGAGCATTGCCAGGAATGTCACAGAGATATGCAGCCCTACTTGTGTGAGCATCGCCAGGATTGTCGTGGATGTTTTACAGCCCAATTCATGCGAGCGTCACTGAGAACATCACCGGCATTTGTGGCCCCACTCGTGTGAGCATAGCCACAAGCATCATGGATGTTTACGGCCCCACGCATGAGCGTCACCACAAGCATCACAGGCAGTTGCGGCCCCACAGGCACAAGCGCTCAAAGCCCCACTCACGTGAGCAATGGCTGTGCGTGTGCATGAGCGTGTGCATTTGTTCACCCCCCCCCCAAACAATCCCTTCTTTCCTCTCTCCCCCTGCTCCGGACTGCCAACCCCAAAAGGTTGGGAATTCTGACTTAAAGGATCAAGAGGCCCAAAGAATAGGATGATATGCATTCTGGGGGCATCATGTTGAAAACCTAAAGTTGGAATAAACATTTTTTAAAATAAACATTTTTTTTTACTTGATAAGCAGCGACAGTCTGCATAGTGCATATAATGATTAAAGTGTTAAACACAAATATGGGAGATTCAGGTTACAATTCTCATGGAACTACCTGGATGACCTTTAGCCAGTAACACCCTCTCAGCCCTAATGTGTGTCAGGGTCTTCAGCAAGCAAGCTGAAAAACAAACAACCCCTCCTCTCATTATTACATAATGCATAGATAGCTTTGCTGTGTGAATTGCTCATACATACTACAAAACATGTGGCCCCTGTGACCAAGAAGAACAAATACTAAGAACAACAGCTTGCAAACCAGCCAGAATTACTTTGTTGTTTATGATAATTGCTTGTAAAGATTGTCCACTTCATTATTCCATTAGACTATAGTTTTTTTTAATGTGGCAACTTGCCTCTGAAAGCCTAAATGTTCTGCAATCCTTTCTGTATTCCAAGTGTCCCTTTTGACAATTGAAAAAAAACCACCTTAATTGATAACAATTTCACTCATTTCTCTTTCTACAGATTCCTGATTATAGAATCCGTAACTAGGAGTCTTAAACTTAAAATTGCAATTGATTAATTTGTAAAGTAACGGAAGGAAGATCAACTGGCTGCTCAGTCCTTCATGAATTTCCATTGGATTTGATTTATGGAAAATGGAGAAAACATTATGGGTACATTATGGATATCCTCAGCTCACTGAATCTGCAAAGACTTTCAAATGGACTATTTCTTAGTCATTTGCTTCTTTTAATTTTAAGAATCAAAATATCTACTTTTACTACTGTAGTAGCTCTCAGATTACCATGATTCACATTCAGGATTATATGTTTGTAATTGCTTGATAATATCTATCTTTACTCAGTGTATGCTGATGTAACTTGGGGCTAAGCTAAGCTGTAAATCAGGGCTACAGCTTAAGAATGCACATGAAGACCTTTAAAGATTAGAAAGTGCATAAATATTATGCAACAGCTTTCAAACTAATGCTATGTCAGTGCATCAGATTCCCCGTTTGTTATTTGCTCATGATGGTTACAGACTAGTACAGAAATGAATGAAGCAAACTTACTGTAAGTTCTGAAAATGTGAGTCTGATAAAATGCTTAATGACCAGGTCTGTTAATTTGTCTTTACTGTGCAATACTGAAAAATGAAGCAAAATTAATTACACGATATCATATGTGTTACTTTTTTTTAAAGTATTGAATTTGATTTGATGTCTCTTTTTGATTTAGCATATTTAATTATATGTTTGATTATATTTCTTGTCTTGAAGGTCTGAAATTCTTGGTAAGTTAATTATTTGAGATTAAGTACTGTTTCCATAAGGAATACTACTAATACATTGATTTTAGGTCCAATTTACTTGAGAGATGTTTAGAAAAAAGGTGTAGAAATCTACATACAGTTTATAGTTGCAAAATATTTTCCTATGTGCTTGACCTTGTTGTCTTAGTTCTCTTATATTCAATCCTTCAACAAATCTTGTGATAAGGTATTGGGAAGTTAGATATTAAAATATGGAATTAAATCAATAATTGGGATAATTTCTGATCTCCTTGTGTTTATTAAATTGCACTCTGTCTTGTCAACAATCTCTGCAAGATTCTGATTATTCAGAATCCATAGCTTGATCCTCGGCTGCAGAACTGAGCTATGGATTGAATCTATAGCTCAGTTCTCAGCTGCACAGGCCTTCCGGAAAGGCCTGTGACTGAGAAAAGCAGGTCTGGCTGCAGACGACGCCGCAGAAATTGACCGGCGAGGAAAGGCCTGGCTGCAAGGCCTGGTGGGGCGCATCGGGCAGATACATACCCCTACCCACGCCCTAGCTTGATTTTTAGATGTGTGCCTTGCCGACAAACTAGGACTTATTTTTGGGGTAGGGCTTATATTACACCCGCCCCCAAAAATCAATCCCCTCATATCCATTTCATCCTAGGCTGCCCCTCTTCAGAAATGCCCTTCCCATGGTTAAACTGCCCCTCCCCATGAAATGCTGAGCATTTTTAAAAGCAGTTTACTGGTGGCCTGAATCTGTTAACTGACAGTATTCCCTTGTAACAGGCATATTTGGGATACTGGTGAGCTGGAATGAAATTAACAAGAGTTCGCCATTTTTTTCCTTTTAGCCACAGGATCACAAGAACGATGAACAAATGGTGTCGCCATATCCAAACTACTAGTGGACGGATGAAATGCTGTATTTGCACAGCATTGCTTTATCTGGCTAATGAATTAGCTCATTTAGCAATTCATCTTGTTAAATAGTGTAGCCAGTTTGAGTTTTTACACCACACACTAATTTATCAACACAAAATAAAACAAAACCAAGCAGCTGCAAGGTCCTTAATTGAGCTGGTTGAACATGTACATTATCACTTACATTTTAGGAGTGTGTGTATTTGAATGTTTCTATATAAAATAATGTACTTGAAGGATGTTGATTGACTTTTGAGTGTCACAAAAACAAAAGCCATATATATTACTCTGGATTTGATTTATTCCAATTTCTGAAGAAGCTAGGATTTTCACCTTCAACATTAGATAGAGGAAGCAAGGATATAGAATTACCTCTTTCTTCTTCCCAATAATCTCTCTTTTCTAGAACAGGCTGCCCTCGGGTGGGTGGACAAAGGAGGAAAATAGCATATGTTCTGGCTTATTGTACACTTTACTGTTCCAACTACTAAATTCAATATCCTAACACATTCTAAGTTTCTTGTACAGTAAAATAATGGCAACATCAAATAAACTTGTAAAATTATACTGGTCTCTTAAATTGTTGTAGTCTACTCACATTTCTTTTGATGTTCTCTGCCCTCTATATTATTATTCTAGATTCATGTATTGTTTTATGTTCTATAAACATATAGTTAGAGAGAGCTGTCCTATCGATTTTCTAGTTGCAGATCTTATTCTACTTTCTTTTTTACCTCTCTTGTTCTAGGACAAATGACAGTTCAGTGTTATTCAGCAACATGTTCTCTTGAAAGTACCACCACTCCCTTTAGTTTTTATTGATCAGCTGTCCTATTGAGTCAATCTGTTGCACTGCCTGCCTTTAGGGAACAACACCCGCATAGAGCAGGGGTCTTCAAACTTGGTCCAGGCACACTGGCTGAGGAATTCTGGGAGTTGAAGTCCACAAGTCAGAAAAGGGCCATGTTTGAAGACCCCTGCCATAGAGATCCTGATGGCCTTCACTCTGCTTGCCATTTTTCCAGGTTAATAAGGAGCATGAAATTGATACATTACCTGTCACTCTTTCAAGAGAAAGACAGAAGGGTTGATCCTTCACTCACTAATGTGACAAGTATTCATTAAGAAACATCCCCAAGCAATTGCAGATGGACTAAGGAAGCATCTGATGGTGTCAGTCTTTTAATTTCTATTTACTAGGACAAGGAGGCTACATTGTCAGAAATGTCTGTGGAAAAGAATAAAAGGAATATGTGCTTATTACTATGTACGTATGACTCTGAATAAACCTTATCTGAGACTGGCTTATTCTTTGGTTGTATAAAATCTCCCACCCATTTCTCTGCAGACTTGTTTTCCTTAACCTTTTCTCAGTGTAAAGAAAGCCAATATCATTAATGTGAACTGACTTCTGAAACTATTCAGCATCATCTACATGGGGTAAGATGAGTCATTGCTACTACAAGCTAATTGTAACTTGTCATACCACATTATTTTCAACAATGAAATCATAATCGCAATTGATTTTCTTAGTGAAGCATAGAAAAGCTTTCCTCTTGCTCATACACCAAAATTTATTTATTATTCAGTTAATATATTTGGAGAGGTATTAGCTGAGTAGCATAGAGGTATGTTACCAAATAAATTAGTGAATATAGTTTAGATATATCTTCTGATTTCTTAGCATATTATTTTTAAATTCATGTGACAATGGGTAGCACTGTAATTGCTGCTTCAGTATTTTCATGACAATACCAAATACTCTTGAAATATGGAATATGTATGTATTAAGTATAATACATACAACAACATTCTTATAGTAAATTTTATTATTTCACTAGTAGTATTAAATTTTTACCTAATGATATCAAACAATAGTGAGCCAAATCTGTTACAGTTTAGCATATTTTATTAGAGATCACACATAGTACTTGACTTACAGCCATTCATTCAGTGACCATTTAAACTTCCAATGGCACTGAAAAAAGTGACTTAGGACCAGTTTTCACACTTATGACCATTGCAGCATCTCCATGTCACGTGATCAAAATTTGGGTGCTTGGCAACTGGCATATATTTATTATAGCTGCACTGTCATAGGGTCATGTGATCATCATTTGTAACCTTCCCAGCTGGCTTCCAATGCAAAATTAATGGGGGAATCCAGATTCACTTAATGATGGCATGATTCTCTTAACAACGGTGACAAAAAAGGTCATAATATGGGGCAAAACTGACTTAACAACAGCCTTGCTTAGTAACAGAAATGTTGGGCTCAATTGTGATCATAAGTCGTGAACAACCTAGAGATCATTTTTTTATAATTTCTAAATTGCTCTGCCTTATATCAGCAATATTTCAGTTAAAAAACAAAAGCATATGTAACTGTAATCCCTAAAATTTATTGTCAACAGGTCCCTCAAAAGATAAAAGTGCAGTGATATCCTTTCAACGCCTTCCACAAGTGAGATTTATGTGTTATTTTTCATCACTCTTTTTTTTCCTCCCACTGAGCTATTAGCTGCATCCAAATGTAGCTTCCTATGATCTGTTTATGTAATACATATTCTTACTTATTTGAAGTCCTCATCCCTCTCTTCTGAAATTGTTTGCTTCTGTTACACAGAGAACAAAATAAAAATGTCATAGGCAATGTGATAATCATAGATACTATAGGAGATCTCAGAGTTTTCTCTTGGGTGCCAAACACCATGCTAGCTAGGACTTCCAGGGGTTTCAGTTTTTACACACTAAAGGGCATCCAGATAGTGAGGTTTTGTCTAGACATGATCCTATTTATATCTACTGACTACAAAATGTTCTGTCAGAGAGTGTGCAATGGCCTCTTTCTTGTAGTCTATTCACAAGCTATGCATACGAAGGTATGCATTATATTAAAATACTGGTGCACCACTTCAATATTCCAATCCAAGACATGTTCATAGTACTTTCCATGCACTGCTGATGTAGACATATTATTAGTGAGCATAATTCTGACAGCTGAGAGTTACCAGATTTATAGAAATTCCAGGGAAACTCTTAATGCTATTCCCCTATTATCTTAAAAATAAAGAATTTTATTACAGTGGTCTTCTGATTATGTGACACTAACAGAAGCTGTGTAATGGAAGAGTGGTCCATCCCACTGCTTATCTCAGGACATGGATTATTGTTCGGTAAGACATAACTTCGCAGTCATAATGAAAGAAGCAATACTTGGTGAGCTTCTATTTACCTGCTAATTCATGAAAAGGAAGCCAGTTCCTGTGTCTACTGTCCAGCTAGACTTGAAAGATGGGCTTCTGAAATAACATGCATTTTTTACTTCACAGAATGATACACAGCGTTATAAAAACAGTATTATCACCTGTACCAATTGTGTAACTGCTGTAATTTTCTGACGCAAGCAGTTCATATACTTTTATGACTTTTTCCCCCAAAAGAAAAGAAGAAAGAAAATTAAGAAATACATGAAGGCTAGAAATCCGAGCAGAGTGCAAGTCTCTGTTATATTCCAGCTCTCTGCATTCAAGCCTACTGATACATTACAATAAAATTTAGAGCATTTTGTGGGGATTGAAAAGTCTGGAAATGGAAATATAATGACCACCCTTGATTTTGTTCATTGTACTAATTTATTCATAAAATAATATAAAACAGCAGAAGGAAAAATATGTACTTCATTTTTCCTCCTTGGCTAACCTTCTATTTTTAAACTCCAACTTACCACTTTCTTGCTAGTTGCCCATTACTCTTAGAAACTTTTACTGATGGAAAATTTTCTAAATTAAAAGCACAGTGATGTGTTATGATAACTGGCAGTATTGATGCTGTTTTTGTCAAGCATTAAAGCAGAGACATCCTCCCTGGAGCTTTCCAATAAGCTGCTGTCACTTTCACAATAGAATTATTTGATGAAAATATAATTTGATGAAAATATAATTTGATGAAAATATAATTTGATGAAAATATAATATCTCTAATCCAATCTGAGTCTGCTTCAGGTCAGTAGTTTTGATTAAACTTCAGTCTACCTTGTGGGTGGGTGGTATAGTTACATTAGTTATAGTTTTGCAAAATATAAAAATGAATAGTGATATATCAAGTTTTTTTCTGAATAATGTTATAAATTATGACATGGAAAATTTTGTCCAGTTTTGATGTGCAACAATTGAGAAGGTAAAATTTATTTTGTTTTTCACAATTCCTGCTAAAAGAACATAAACCAACAAAGCAGCTAAAATATTGTGCCCCCCAAAAGAAGAATTTCCCAATATTTGTGTATCAGTTATTATGATAAATGGTTTATTCTTCTTATTCATACTATATTAGCATAAATATAAAGCAAAACTCAGAATTAGTTTTGTGTTTACGCTGATTATCTTTGTGTTACATTTCTAGAAAGTTTTCTTTCTTGCCTTTTTTATGTGCAAAAAATCATGACGTTAATTTAAAGCAAGAACACCATCAGACTGCATTTCAATGATTGTTAGCAATTTTAGCACTTTCATTTAAGTGTAAATGTTTATTCTAAAGTCTCCTAAAGTATTTTCATGATATACCGTATGTCTGGTTTATACCATAAATGATCATTGCTCTTTCATTACAGAGAATTACAACATATTTTCCACAGTTTTGGAGTTTGGGAATTTCTGTAGTGACACCATTGGATGTGATATATTAGCTGTTGCTGGGTCAAGAAGGTCAAAATTCCCTTGAAATTAAACATGCATCACTATAATCCTTGTGATGAACACTGAATTATTTTAAAAAGTCAATAATTTAATTGGTGCTAAATGTTTTTTCAGTTTAAAAAGATAATATTGATACTAATTAAAGGAATGTGCATATAATATTACCAGCCTAAATTCTGAAAGCTTTTTTTATTGTTTCCTGTTAATCATATTGCAAATTACATTATTAACACTGATGGAAACAACTGATCTATATTTTTTTATGCAGACCAAAATTTTTCTACTTATAGATCCAGACTTCATTATCTGTAATTTAACTGAGTGCAAAGCTTAATGAAGAGTAGGAATACATATCAAAATATATCATTTATTCCTGAACAAAATTATCTGCAGGGCTAAAGAGGAAAACTATTTAAATTTAAAATGTCAGTACAGTAGGGATTCCAGAAAGGACATGCCAAGGGCAAAGGTGCCCTCCTCTCCCTTTCCCCTACAGAAATGTAATCAAAGAAAGGAGGGGGGGGGAAACAAATTTTCTGCATGAAATATACTTACAAGTTATATTTCTCAGCCTTGGCAAACTTTGAGATGGATGGACTTCAACTTCACCCATCCTAAAACTGCCAAAATTGAGATACACTGGTGAAACCAGTACACCAGCCAATGAATTGTTTTTAACTGGAGCATTGTAATGATTCTGCGACAATATGGATGCTCGTTTCTACGCTATTGATTTTCTTTGCACATGGCAAGAGATAAGCTTAAAATGGCAGAATATCTATATTTACAGTCTTTCTCTTGGTGTCTGTCTTTATTCCCTATTGCCTGGCCATTGGACATGCTGGATAAAACTTGTTATGTTTCTGTACCA